GCCATTAATGGCGGAGAGTGCGGCAGGAAGAAGCCAAAAGCTGTCCAAGCCCGGGTCACGTATTACACTAATTATTGTAGGCAATTTGGGGTTGCACCTGGTCGTAATCTCTACTGTTAGGGGTTCGCGATCGGGATTGATCAATGTGGGTCCAAACTTTGACAATAATGTACTCTAAAAACAGCCTTTCTCCGCCAAACATAGCTTGGTAATCGGGATGAAGGATGATGAAATAAAGATGTTGCTTTTGTTAAGCAATTTAATGACCCTTTTGGTTATTCGATTTATGTAGTCACATATTCAGAAGAGTACCACGTAAATCCAAACTAATGGCATCGGGGAGAGAGAGAGAGAGATCGATCTTAGTCAAGACGAGGGACCTAAGACATTTTGGGAAGCATTTGAGTTTTTTTTTTTATTTTTTGAGTTCAAAAGTGACATCAAGAGCTGTTCTTATCGAGTGGATTTTCAATTTGTCCACCTCCATTTCATTAAATTTTCGCCAAACTGGATAAATATCGAAGCTAGAATGAAGGGAAAATGACATAAATGGCTCTTAAACTTTGGTCAAACGTGCAATGTTATCCCTGAACTTGATCCATAAATTTTGGTTCAAAATTCGATGTGGTCCCTGAATTTTTATATGCATTGAACAAATTAAAAATTTAACGACAACATTATACATTGGATCAAATTTAAATCATATTGTATAAATTAAAAGTTCAGAAACGACATTGTATCATTTTTGCTATTATCCTTCTAATGAAATATGGATAACCCATGATTACTTGATCTTTGCTTTTGTTGTCTTAAAAATTATTCAGAAGGAATTGAATGTCCCGAATCGCAAGTCTAATCAAGGCAATATATATCTATTGATTAGGAGATTAGCAAAGAAAGGTGCTGTAAGGTACATAATTATTGTATATCAATAAAAAAAATTATAAGCATAGGGGCACCGTACCAAAGAATCTAAAGCTCATAAGGAAAGGACAACTAAACATCTAAAGCATTCAAATAGTGCAATTTAAACCTGATCTTGGACTTGACGATTCACGGCCGACCCAGGCCACATATGCCCCAAGGGCACTTTTGAGAAGGCTTCAACAATGCTATAGTTATGAAGTCCGACTCAGCTTAGTCCTCCTCTGAAATTCCGCACGTAAGTTCTTTTTCTAATTGAGGGATTTGGGCGACAAATGAGGCCTAACCTATGGACCTAGCCTAACTTGAAACCGGCCATTAATCACCTCTAATGCAGTCAAACCCTTAAATCTATCTAAAAATGCAATCAAGTACTTCCATTAACTCTATCATTTTTAAGTGATGAAATTCGAAGTTGTTATAAATACATTGTATGATGTGGATGTATCACTTTTCACCATTCCATGAATAGTTTTATACATTCCCTTTTTCAATGTACATGATCACCTCCACCATTAATAGTATACATAAACACATATATACAATGTACCTATATTATTCATGTACCCTCTAGCTTATAAGAGACTTTTGTAAACTTGTTGAGGAAGAAGTTGATTCTAAATATCACCATTTACTTTTAAAATAGAAGTGACCTTATTGAATAATTTTCAACAACACTCGAGCCTTGATGCATTGCCAAATAGGTGCCGACCGGCGCCGCATCAAATAAAAGACCGAAAGTTCAGAGGAAAAAAAGGGAGAGACATAAAGTGCGGAGTGGGGGCAATGTACTCCCGATTTTGCCGACGAGGGTTGACGACCCTCGCTGATGGCCAAGCATGGACACCCTCGTATCAATGCTCTATGTCGTTGAAGAAAAGAATCATTAGGTTTAATTTTTCCGTCACTCAAATCACTCAAAACTCTACACATTATGTTATTTTAAGATAAATTTAACAGTTCGATTGTATTTCTGAAAATTTTTAGGACGGAACTACCTTTTGACTACAAGTCTAAAGACTTTCGTCCTTAAATTGTAAGCGAATATGAAAACAAGCAAGCAATATTCAATTTAACGATAAAAATCACATCACTAATCTTGAGAATTTTCCCTCCATTTGAGTATTAGTAATGCCATTAGCATACTATAACCAATGATATTATTTGTGCAATATGCTTCCTAATAATCTAAAGGGTTAATACCATGAAAAACTCTAAACTGATACACTTGTGACAATTTTACCCCGAACTATTTTTTTAACCATAAAAAATCCCAAACTGATACACATGTAACAATTTTACTCTTAACTATTTTTTGGATTACCAAAAACCCCAAACTGGTACACATGTGACAATTTTACCCTGAACTAATTTTTTGACCACTAAAAATCTCAAATTAGTATAACTGTAACAAATTTACCCTCCGTTAGTTTCCGTTAAATTTTACTGTCAGATTACTAAGGTTGATGTCAAGTGATAGTTGATGGGTGTGCCAGTTTTGGGTTTTACCCCTCTGTTTGTCACAAGTTTACTAATTTGCGATTTTTCGTGATATTAATCCAATTTAACGAACACTAACAAAGGGTAAATTTGTTACAAATATATCAATTTAGGTTTTTAGTGGTCAAAAAATTAGTTTGAGATAAAATTGTCACAGATGTACCAGTTTGGGGTTTTTAATGGTCAAAAAATTAGTTCTAGATAAAATTGTTACAAATGTACCAGTGTGGGGTTTTTGGTGGTCAAAAAAATAGTTCAAGATAAAATTATCACAGATGTACCAATTTGGGATTTTTTGTGGTCAAAAAAATAGTTCGGGGTAAATTGTCACAGGTGTACCAGTTTGGGGTTTTTTGTGGTATTAACCCTAATCTAAAAAAAAACCCCCAACTTTAGCTTTAATTCCAATTCTACTTTAAAAAAATTTTATCTAAAAAAAAACCCCAACTTTAGGTCCAATCCCAATTTTACCTTGAATTATTTTTGTCTTCTAAAAAACCATCAACTTTAGGTCCAGTTCAAATTCTACTGTAACACCTTTTTTTGCCTCATAAATAAATCTCAACTTTAGGTCAAGTTCCAATTTTATCCTAATTTTTACTTGAATCCCAAATTTGCCCCCATTAACCCTCCATCCAAAATTGCTCTTAGGAATCTTACATGGCATTTCCACGTCATTATTCTAGTTTTTCCCCAAATTTCAAATCCAAGAAGACGTCTTTTGAAGATGAATTTCCACGTCAGCCTAACGCAACGGCTTCTTGGATCTGAAATTTGGGTAAAAACTAGAGCAATTAGAGTTTGTTTTCTTCAATCGCTCTTACACTAAAGAGAGTTTTCCTTCCATCTTGTTCGGGGATCTACGATTTTGCGCTCGATCTTCAATCTCTCATTCTCAAGAGTGTTCCATCTCTCGCGATCGAAGAACTTACGCTCGGAACATGCTTTGGAGTTTTCCATCTCTCAGTTGTCAACAAAAAATATTGAATCAAGGGTTAATGAGGGCAAATTTGTGACTCAAGTAAAAGTTGGTGGTCTCTTATGAGACTGAAAAAATTTTAAGGTAAAATTGGGACTGAATGGTTGAATTGGGACATAACTAAAAGTTGGAGATTTTTAATGGGACAAAAAAAAATTATGATAGAATTGAGACTTAATCCTAAAATTGGATCTTTTTTTAGGATATTAAGCCCTAAAACTTATGCGACGATCCATTGCTACGTACTTAAACAGAATAATCTTTAGAGTTAATGCTACGAAAAACCCCAAATTGGTACACCTGTGACAATTTTACCTCGAACTAATTTTTTGACCATGAAAAACCCCAAACTAGTACACCTGTGACAAATTTACCCCGAACTATTTTTTTTTATCACCAAAAACCCAACACTGGTACACTTGTGACAATTTTACCCTAAACTAATATTTTGACTACCAAAAACCCCAAACTGGTATATTTGTAACAATTTTACCCCAAACTAATTTTTTGACCACTAAAAATCTCAAATTTGTAAATTTATAACAAATTTACTCTCTGTTAATGTCCGTTAAATTGGATTAATATTACAAAAAATCACAAATTGGTAAACTTATAACAAACAGAGGGGTAAAACCCCAAACTGGTAGACCCGTCAACTACCACGTGTCATCAAACTTAGCAATTTGACAGTAAAATTTAACAGAAACTAACGGAGGGTAAATTTATCACAAGTGTACCAGTTTGGGATTTTTGGTGGTCAAAAAATTAGTTTGAGGTAAAATTGTCATAAGTGTACCAGTTTAAGATTTTTGGTGGTCAAAAAATTAGTTCGGAGTAAAATTGTCACAAGTGTACCAATTTAAGGTTTCGTGGTTAAAAAGTAATTTTGAGTAAATTTATGGAAACCAACTTTGCATTCGAATTTACCCGAATTTTTGACACCAAACCAACTTGTTGACACATTTACCCAATGTATTTAGTCCATGGGCATTTTCGTCTTTTTGCTTTTTTTTTTTTTTCTTTTTTTTCCTTTCCATGGGGTGCTCGGATCCGCGAGGGGGCCCTCGGGCGCCGAGCGAGGGCGGCCTCGCCGATCCGGCGAGGCGGCCTCGCCGCGCCGGCGAGGTCCGTCGGGCGAGCGAGGTCGACCGCGGCGGCGAGGGTCGACTCGCTCGAGCCGGGCGAGGGCCGCCTTCGCCAGCGAGGGCGACTCGCGGCGCGGCGAGGTCCGCTCGCCGCCGGCGAGGCGGCCCTGCCGGACGGCGAGGGCGACCTCGCCCGACGCCGGCGAGGGTCGACCACTCAGACGGCGAGGCGAACCTCGCCCGAGCCGGCGAGGCCGCCTCCGACGGGCGAGGGTCATCCGCGAGGGGGCTCCGATCCGGCGATGGCACTCACGAAGGAAAAAAAAAGAAAAAAAGACGAAAATGCCCTGACTAAATACACAAATTGCACAAAAGAAAGTCGAATTTTTGCCACAAAAAAATTAATGATAGGATTTTTTCCTAAATTTATATATTCCAAGAATTTTTGTGATATTAACTCTAATCTTTATTTCGAGAATTCTCTCTAGTGTTGACAAGGACCCGGGATCAAATTCTACCAAAACGCACACGATCTCTAAATTATACGACGGCCATGGACTGGTCATCCTGGTTCCGGCGAACTCTTCTGAAAGATGCGAACAACCCCAAAATCTCAGATCCACCTAAACCATCCTCGACGAAGAAGCGACACCAAGCTGAAGAAGATTTAGAGCAATATGGAATAACGCAGCAATTGGTCGACTTGGTCAAGACCTTCACAGTGGACACTTTCAAGAACTTCCATCTTCAAGGTGCGATTTTTTTGTCAGTGTTTTGGATGAAATTTGGAATCTTGGGTTCTGGGAGTGGCTGGATGATAGAGCTATTCCAGATTCTCGATTTGGGTTTCTTTCGTTTCTCGTTTTTTGGGTGGAAATTGAATCGATTGGGCGTGTTGCAGATGACGGCGTGGCTGGTGCTGATTCTGGCACCGCGAGTGCTACTTCAGCATGCAGTGTGAGGAAGGATCTCTCTGAGTGGCAGGAGAGACATGCTTACCTTGTGCTTACTAGTGTTAAGGTTTGTGAATTGTGATCTGCGTGTGGACTTTAGAGAATTCTCGCGTAATTGATGTGGGAAATTTTGCATTCTGAAGATGTTAACTTACTTATGTACTTGGTTGCCTCTTTCCGAGTAATGCAATGACTGCATTGCGAGTTTGCTTTTTGACGCCTTTCAATGCGCACTTCTTCTATTCGATTGAGGTGGATTTCGCAAATACGAGATGCCGGATGTTCTGTAACCAAACCAGTGGTCAGTGCCATGTTCTGATGTGTGATTCTGGTTCTCTTAGGAGATTTAGGATTAGAAGAGGAATTGAGGTTCAGAATTTGGCGAACCTACTTTTAGATATAGTGAGCTTCATTCAAATAAAGTTTGGGAACCTGACATAAAAGGATACCTAGAAACTGTCCGAAGGAATGAGGTTTGATGAAGTAGAGAGCTCTAATTGTTGTGGCAGCTTTTTATAGAATGACCCAGCCTGTGATATATCTGGATTGCTCAAGAGGACTAAAAGTATCCTATAGAAATGGATGTGTTATCTGATGAAGTAGAGAGCTCTAATTTTTGGGATAACAAGTCATTAAGATTGTACTACCTAGAAAGCTAATAAATCTGAGATGACTGGACCGTAAACCATACGATTGACTCTCTATAAGGCTGCATTAGGTTTTCATGCTGTGTTTTGAAAAGAATTTTAATTGATCAATGATGATGTAAATTATGTTCCTCTATAATCTTTAAATACGACCTACTTGTGCTTGTGTTATCAATAAAATCAGATAAAATAGTTTGAGCTGCATTCTTCTTATTGTGATGCTTCTCCCTCTTTGACTTTGAAGTTTACTCGATGGTGGTTGTTTAGTTCACTGGCCTGCGCTTTTTACTGTGGTGTTTGTATCCACCAAATTTGTTTCTTCATCAATATTTAGAGGCCCCACTATTGAGCTTGCTTCACTAACTGCAAGTTATATATTTTGGACGGACTGCTGAAGCAAATATTCTTTAGAACATGTAATGACGTAAAGTCGAACATGTGCCATGTGTATCTAGATGACTGGTTGTACATGTCTTACTTGTCCAATGTAAAAGTCAAGCTTTAAGGCCAAGATAAATTACTTACCCATATTAATCTGCTTCATGACCATATCAAGCTCATTTCAGGAAATGTCCCAACTGCGATATATGCTATGTCCCCGACACATGAAGGAGCGGCAATTTTGGCAAATATATTTTGTGCTTGTCAAGAGCCATATAGCTGAGTAAGTTACCAAGCCATATTAGTATTTATACAAAACAGAAAGCTTGTCCAGTCTAAATGACGTCTGACCTTGTTTTGAAATACTTATGAAATTCTACCATCACTTGTCTTGTCCATGACCAGTTATGAGCAGCGGGCAATACAACTAGCAAAACTGAAGGAAATGAAGATGGGGGTTGACAAATCTTCCAACGGCAGTTCATATGAAGTTGAAATGGCCGAATCAAAGGTGGCCTCAAGTTCACCACCTGCAAGTCCTTAATCCCACTAATTAGTTTCTAAATGAAAGTGAAACCGAGCAGGTAAGAATGAACAGATATTCAACTGTTCCGTTGCGTTTCATGACCCTTTAAGTAGTTCCTTCACGGTTGATGTTAATGTGCAACATTGACCTCACTTCGTTTTAATCTCTCAGCTGGAAAAGATCCTGCCGACAGGATGAACTTTGGAGATAACAGATGCACCAGAAAAAATCAACACCCATCTTGTCAGAATCAACTTACAGAGACTGAAAACATTTTTAGAGAACTCAATCAAAAGTGAGTTATATTTGATGCTGATATGTACTGACAAGTGCTTCTCTGTAGTCCTGCTGCATAAATTTTGACTACATTTTGTCATATGAAAACCAAAACGAGTAGTTAATATTAGAGCTAGCTTGAAGTATAAATCTATCTGTGAAAACTGGCTTGCTCACCTCTTGTTAAGCTGTAATTGCTTGCTAAGCTCTTCTATTTCGCATGTTCTCAATTTCTTATATGATAATGTTACAAAATTGTCCAATACATGGCTTTGCTTGTTGATTAGCGCTCAGAAGCTACATGATGCCGAAGTATATGCTAAATGCAGATTCACTGCAGCATTTTTCCTGCCACTAGACATCGGTGCTTATTCAACTTCATGTATGAATGTAATGAAACACATTTTCTGAGGGGAAGATCCACCGCTGGGCTCTTCCTTTCCTTATACAACACCCCTCTTGTTCTCATAGTTTTCCATGCGAGTTTTACAGCAAACTCTCTGGAAAATGTATTGCCTAATGTAGCCATTCATCCGGTGGGTCGATTACTCATCTTTTATTTTTCCATTGCTTAAGCCAGAATCACCCAATTACGTGACCCTCCTTTCGATCCTCTTAAACAAAGGTTCTGAAAAAGGTTTGTCCCATTTATACAAAAGATTTTAGCAATTCAGTGATGCATGTTCCAATATACGGAAGATTGATCAGTTCTGCTTCCGTATTTGAACTTTTCCAGTGTGACTTCATAAGCGTCACTTGAATCTGGAAGTGACGCAAAGGCACCTGAGAAATTGCTTCAGATAGTCTGAAATGGAAAACGTGGATCGTGCAGCGGTGGGGTTTGGCAATCGGGAGCTTTTTGGATTGTTCTGCTTCCGTAGAATCCCGCTTTATGGCCTCGTATCTCTTTATCTGACACCCTACAGGTTTTCCTGATCGCAATAATATTTCTTCAGGGGGATTTCCTGAGAATGGCCCGTGAATGGTGAACGAATGAGAGGCAACAAGCGAAAGAATACGATCAAGATTCAACAGGACATTTATTGAGACGTTGGTACACTAGGGAGCACTTCGTGTAACCAAAGAAAAAACGAAAAAATGCTGGCCACCACTGAGATTGTGGTGCGCTGCACATGCCCCTTGGAATTTGCTCGTTGAAAGACATGGTCTGATACATCTTTAATGCATATCTCTGAATATTTGGCGAGACTGGTTGTTGGAGTCAGCTTCATTTTACTCCTTCTGCGATGCGATGTCCCTTCATGGCCTCAATATCATGCAATGAGTATCTGTAAAATGCAGTCATGATGACTTTCACCCGTTCGACTGAGCAAAGACGTGCCAAGAGCCCTTCTGATTCAAAAGCCTCTGCTTCCTCACCAATTTCCACTGAGATTTTTACTTTCTAAACTTGAAATTTACAAGAAGGAGCCTTTGAAATGGTAGGGCATTAGGGAGTCCCCACAAGTACGATATCGAGTTGAGAAAAACGACTTTGCCACGAACAAGCAAGAGCCTTTTATACGGCATGTGATAGAAATTGACCTCCATTGAATGCACATACTCAGAAACATCACATCCGGATTTACTAGAGAAAGAGGTTGGATTTCCTCCTTGGCCATATCCGTTGAAATAGTTTAAGCATAAGTCCAGAGAGGACCAAAAAAAAGAGAAAATACGTATAACAACAAAGCATAGTACTTTTAATATATAGACAAGGAGAGAATAGGTAATATACTGAAGAAACAAGTTATGTACCAGTGCTATATTCTCCTTTCTCAACAGACTACAATGGTGTAAGCTCAAAAGGTGATTTCTAATCTACTCATAGATCACGGCTCCTAAGACACTATCAAGGGATTTGAATTTATTATCCGGTTAGCGTGCTCCTCCTCTGTTATGTAACAGATTAGGCTTTCTTGCTACTCCTGTACATTGACTCCATATGCGATGCACACTGTCGTCCGGCGTCAATGCGTACCTCATGGAATTACTTGCACCCATTCAAAACGACCTGGGAGGGGAAGATCCTTGACGATATCAAAGTTGTACCTGAGAAGACAATCAAGGAAAGTAAATAAAATGACCATAATATAATCAGCAAATCTGTGTTGTTTTGCTTAAAGTTGATCACGGACAATTTACTCTAAAACGCAATAGTAATGATTTCAACTTCTTTACATAAGAAGCCAAGGTGAGACAATAATGAGCAAAGATGGGACAAGATTATATACTTCTCAATGAATGATCTTTGTTGTCGTCGCTCGGCATATGCAAAGAACTCCTCCATCTCATCTGAGGCCGGGATACTTCTAAGTATGCTCATTTGAGTTCTGTGAGCAGTGCATGAGCTCTGCTGTCTTGTGGTTGACCCCGGTGGTGTGTTTGCGTTCAAGTCCCTTATCAAGCTACATGGCGTGGTTTCCCTTGTGCCCCTGCATAAAATCCACATCCATTGTTAAAAGCTTGTCACCATAAAGCACTTTATAACTCTTGACTCAGTAAAAACCATTGTTGTGTTTAAAGAGTATCCTAAAACTTATCATTAGTCTGCTACATTCTATTTAAAGACCTCAGGATGGGAAATGTGATTTGGACGAGCCTAAATCAATAGAAAATCTCAGTTCAGGACAGCTAGAATGCACATGGTCAATAAGCTGAAGGATCCCTGAACTTAAAATTGGATTTCTCTACAGGGCATGCAGTAGAAGTTGCAACATGAATCATTTTTATCAGCATAATACGATAGTTCCCTATTCTTTTCCAATTTCCTGCTAACAACAAAACAAGGTAACTGGTTAAACATGAAGAAATTCATGAAAAGGAATACTAAAGAGTTTCAAAGTACCCCACCAAAATCAACAGGCTCAACGAAGTTTCAATCTTGAAACAAATGAAACAAGGTAAAAGGAGGGACTCCGGACCTCTGGCAATGGGGAAAACATTTCTCCAAGGGGTTGGTACCTTTATGCTTTTTTAATTTCCAATGAGTGTCGTTGTCATGATCAAATTTGTGGAAAAAGAAACTGTGCCCATATTTTAAAGTATCTCAAATATGTGGGTAATAAAACGAAAAGAGCCCAAATTCATGCCCGTTTATTAAAGTATCTCAAACGTGTGGGCCAAAACTAAAAGATCATCTCTTGGAGAAAAAAGGTCTCTCCTTTAGTACTCTTTTTGAGCGAAGCAAACCAGATGACTGTGATAGGAGGAGCCAAAAGAAGCACTTTTAATGGGCAAGCGCACAAGGATGAAGACAGAAAGAAACCTAAAAGCTAACTTGACAAAACCCTCAGAAAACAACCTTTTTTTCCGAATTTGTTGAGAACTAAGTACAAAGAAGTCAAAAATTTAACCCAGAAAAAGAAATGTCGGCATGAAGACACAACCAAAGACAGGAGGAAAATCACATGAAGAACAAGTCCACGGAAATAGAAAAAGGAATGGGAAAAAACAGAGCATCTTTGCAAGTTTGCAATTGAAAGGAAAATTAAGCATCAAAATTCGAAATTTATTCACCTGTCTGTGTCTTCAATCTCCAAATCGTTCTCCCCAAAAGACGCGTCGACCCCCGCATCGCAGGCGCACTCCTCCCCATTTCCTCCGCCACTCCGACCGACGCACCCTCCATCCCCCTCCACTCCACCGCCCAACGACGCCGTTCCCGCCGAGCACGAAGCGTCACAGCTTCCCCCGGAACCGCTCTCCGCCCGCCTCCTCCCCACCGGCACTTCGTCCCTTCTCGCTTCCGAGGGCGCGAGGCAGGGTTTCCGGAGCCTCCGGCTCCGCAGCTGGAGGTAGGAGAAGGGACAAGGGGAGGCGTCCGAGCTCGGCGCGGCGGCCGCGGCGGCGGCGGGAGGCGGCGGCCGGGATGCTCTCCGGGGGCGCCGCGAGGCTAGGGTTTTGGCCCTGGTCCGGACGCCGGCGGCCGAGGAGCGCGGGGAGACCTCCGGGAGCAAGACGTCGCGCGTGATCGTCTTCGATTTCTTCATGTACTTGCCCATCTTGACGACGACCGCCGCTGGTTTCCCCTCTCGAGGAGCTTGCATGCGCAGAGAAGAAGAGAGAGAAGGAGAGAGAGAGAGAGGAGAGAGAAAGAGCTTGGGGAAGGAAGAGGTAGGGCTGGGGATGGAGGGAACATGTTGACATGGTGTTGTGTTTATATATACAAACGCTCTTTGAAAGCTTTTGGATAGATTTTCTCCTGTTTTTTTTTTTGCTTTTTATATCACATCTACTACACAAGAACATTGCATAATCTATTTTTAAAATAATTATGCAGAAGTCCAAATTATGAGAAAATTTATATAATGCCATTTTAGTGTTTTATGATCCTTCTTTCTTTTTTTAGTAAAGAAAATGTGTCGATACCTTCTAATGATAACCTTTCCACTTCTGTAGCCTAACAAAATAGGGTTCTTCAATTGATTTCACGGTAATATCTCGGAATGAAGATTGTATTTAAGGGTGCATTTGCTTCTCGAAAAACATACCGTTTCTGAAAAATGTTTTATGAGAAATCATTTTCCGGGAAAATGAGTTCATTTTTTGGTGTTTGGTCAGGAAAATGAGTTCATTTTTCGGTATTTGGCTAAAGCCTCAAAAAGACTTGGAAATTATTTTCAGTTGTTTGGTGAGGAAAATCTGATGGCGAATATTATCAAAAAATTTTGTATTTTTTAAATTATTTCAAATTATTTGTTATTTTTAAATTATTTTTATTAAGAAAAGAAAATACATAAATGTTTTCCTTCTTAGAAAGAAAACAAAAAGAAAACAAAAAAAAATAAAATAAAATAAAAATATTAACAAATTCAAGATGAGCAATTTCGAAAAGGACCACGCTTTTCCATTCCTCATTTGGCTTAGATACTCATTTTCTTTGTGTTTTGACCATATTGTCCCTTGTATGGCCACCACTTCTCTTATAACTCTAGAAAACTGATTCCTTTTTATTTTGTTTCTTCTTTTTTTTTTCTTGCGGGCCTCACTTTTCTTCTTCTTCTTCTTTTTCACGCCTAAATCGTCTTTGCGTTTTCTCTGCCATTCTCTTCTTTCTACACCTCCATGTGATGCCAACCCCATTGTCCTCCACACTTTTCCTGGCACCAACACTGGGCTCACCATACAATTTCAATCCCATGAACGCAATGCGGATTGGAGAGGCCACGGTAGTGCTTCCTCTGCATATTGTGAGAACGCACAAAAACCCTATCCACACTAAAGGGAAATGGACGCTCCCCTTGCCGACTATGCCCGTTCATGTAACTTCTCAGCTGCATTTTGCCGAGAGCATTTTTAGGCCTTTCCTTGAAAACCACATGTAAATGTTTTCCATGTCGTGCTAAACCAAAAAAGCATTGAGCGGCAAGTCTGATTTCTCAAAGCCAGACACACCATTACGGTCCTGAACTATTTTGGACTTTGATTTTTCATTCAAAATAGGCCTAAAGTAGAAACTAAAGAAAAACCAGGCGCTCCACTCACTATCAAGGGGCTTGTTACTCTTATGCCCCACTTTTAGGATATTAACATTCATCTCTATTTGGTAAAGTTGGGGTCCCAAACAACATTTAAAATATCACAAGGGTCATTCCAAAGCAGAGAAGGTGGGCTAGGCCTTGATGACAAAGGGAGATTGAAATCGGGTGGTCCTCCATGGATGATCGAGCCATAGATCTCTCTCTCCAATTCATCGTGAGACAAAAAGCCAGAGTCCATGGACAACAATGTGTTTTCCTTCTAGGTTGTGCTTCTAAATTGATAATTAGAGCAAAGATCTCCCTAACATGCTCATGAAACAAATCGAAGCAAATATGGAATTATTCGAGCAGCAATCCGTCGGACAACAAAACCTTAGAAACCCCCTCACAAGTGCGGAATTATTCAGGCTGTGTGTGGTGGAGAAAAGAGGCTCGTTGGGTTGAGAACAATGTTGGTGCTAGCGAAAGTGTGGAGGATGACGGGTTAGCATGATAGATATTTGAGTAGGGACGCGTAGAAAGAAGAGAATGAGAGAGAAAACAGAAAGACGGTTTAGGCTTGATAAGAAATAAAAGGAAGGAAAGTGGGACCCGCAAAGAAAAAAAAAGAAGAAACAAAATAAAAGGGACAATTTTGTAGAGTTATAAGAGAAGTGGTAGTCATACAAGGGATGGTATGGTCAAAATACACAAAAAAAAAAAAGAGTGTCTAAATCAAATAAGGAGTGAAAAAAGCGCAACTCTTTCGAAAAGTATTTTCATCTTCTTAGATAAGAGAATTCACTTTCCTAAAATAAAACATGATATTTGTGTTGACCAAAAAGTATTTTTCGTTGATCAAATCATTTTCGGAGAACCAAACGAATGAAAGTCCAAAAAACACTTTCCGGAAAAATACTTTCACCAAAACAAACACAACCTAAGATAATTTGTCAAAGTACGTCATTGATAAATGAAAATAGTCTGCGACCGAATGAAATATCAAAGGAAAAAAGGTCATCAATCATCGCCACTTATGTGACAAAAGGTGCGGGAGCTATTGATCGAGTTGAAGTGAAATTAATATTTATACCAAATTAAAGAAAGAGAAATTGGTATGACCCTACTTTTTCCCTCTAAAGATTTCTCGATTAAATTATTTTCGTTGTTGCGATTTTTAACTGTCTCGAATGAATTTTATCCAGGAAAATAAGAAACTCAATCTCTTCGCATGGGGAAGCCGTGCTAGCAATTTTCGATATTGTCCATTTGCACAATATGACGTCATGCGTAATTAAACGGGATTGTGTCATAATCGAGTCCGTTTATGTCGGCCGATCAAGGTCAAGCACAAACATCGTGCCGAGTACAACCCACCTAAATGAATAGCTATGCATCATTATTCTCAAATGTTCGTTGTTGAAAACATATATTTTTGAAGTTAGTTTTATAATTGAATCTTTTCATATGTCGATGTCGACCATCTAAGGATGAATGTGTAAATAATCTCTTATGCAGACGATCAATCAAATGAGAAAATCCGAGGACGGAGCAAAAGTCAAACTGACATTGATGATTAATTCGAAGTTATCCGTTGGAGCATTAAAATCGACAACATGTTGCATGCATTTCACCAAACGTCACTAAGTTAATTTCATCACACCCGAGAGTCACCTGCCCTCGTTATCCTACCAATTATTTATGCAAGTCTCATGCTTTCTTCGAAGTCAAAATTGATCGTATTCTATGATTTATTTCGTCCGGGTCTTGTTAATTAGCAAAATATTTATTAAATGTAATTGATGGGACAATGTTCTATTTTTTTAAGATATTGATCTTCATCCTTGATGAATAAATAGACGACGCGGGGCATCCGGGTTAGAAACATTTTTTACGTCAACAAAGCTTGGGGAAAAATGAAGCGGTGTAGAACTATTTCTGCGTATCACGAGCGTAATTAATGTATCGAAATTGCAATATTTCATTATTTGATTGTTTAATTAGTACTGCGAGGATACTTTTTAAATTTCTTTACGTTCAATCGCGACGGTCAAAGCACCATTCGGCTGACTTCAAACGGACATGAATAAGCCATTAGTGTTGATGGAAACTCTTGTTTATTGATCAAGAAGACACCGCTTAATTTAGCCAATTAATCCAAGGGATTTGACTTGATTAGAGTGAGATCTGAAAGGCATAAAACTGATGTATCATGACAATTTTGTGTCGTGCCAATCTGTCCTTGTTGTTATTCTTGTCATTTCGTGTGGTCACCAAAAAGTTTCAACTAGGATATAAGATTTTTTCTATTAAATTATAATGCAACCGCTCGAAAACTGGTTTCACTTTTAGGAACCGGGAACCGAACTGATATTTCCGAGAACCGGACCAAATCGGTCCGTCAGGTTCGGTCCCGATTTGGGCAGTCCATCTTGCTCACCCTTAGGTATAATGATACCGCAAGGAAATTAACTTTTATCCATTTTCCTAGGGGCACCTAATTTTTTTTTATATTTAATTAAGTATTTCAACTTTTCAAATGGAGATCAATATAATACTGTCGATATTGGCAAACAAGATTGTGGCAATCAGCTCTTTTTTCATGTCATTATAGCGCATGAGATGGACATAATGAGATCATGGTTTTTTTTATGAGAAAGCATGATTATTATTCAGTACTTTTAGTACCTCTTAAAAAATGTAAATAAATAGTGCATTAGAGTCCCAAAAACCGATAGGATTCATTCGTTGTTCAATCTAAATAATATGTCAATTTCAAGTTTACTCAAGAGAAATTTTCCCCTCTACCGACCTCACTCGCTTCTTAATATGCGATTAAAGGTGTCAACAAAGCACGGACCGCTTTCCTAAGCGAGCCTATTAGTGCAATTCCACCGGGTGGCTCTTACTTATATATCATTCACCAAAGTCTCTCCTATGAACTAGTTAATATGGGATATAACGTGTCAAACGTACACCTGAACAATTCTATTCAGGGAAATCTTATCTACATTTTTCCGTGTGAATATATTTTCCTATCATAAAGTAGATGGTTAAATTAATTAAATCTAAGCATAACAACATAATTTTTTTGGGCTGCAGAAAACTCAAATAATGCACATACACTTTGTACCGACGACAAAATTTGCAATATTACGGTCAACATTAACTGATTAGACTACTGATATTGAAAGACTTTTACTACAAGCGACGATTGTCCTTTGGAAACAATTACGTCACATTAGTTTTGTTCACACCGTGCACGTTAACAATGATAGCTTTGCTTATGTTTATCATATTAATTGTGCATAACACAAGAATGAAGGTATTTTTGAAACGATAAATTTTCTTTCTTCGAAAGCTGCTTACGAAATTCCTAATATATGCTAGTGTCGGGACATGTGCTACACTCGCATGTGAAGTCGGGCGATTATCGATGAGGAAGAACACGAGCGTTTGTTTGAGGAGATGGATGGAGGAGACGAGCGAGATAGAAATCTATGACACCTATGGCTGAACACTTGAATAAAGAAAATTTGTCATTTTGGGTATGTTGTGTTTTTCGCATCTTATCTAATCCATGCATTGAAAATACAAATATATTTCTTATTGAACATGAATAGTCAACACTCCGAGAGCAATTATTAACAAGAC